TTTTATGATACCACCTATTTAGTACACAAATAGAATAGTTAATGGCTCATTGTTTTATGATACCACCTATTTAGTACACAAATAGAATAGTTAATGGCTCATTGTTTTATGATACCACCTATTTAGTACACAAATAGAATAGTTAATGGCTCATTGATCCTCTATTTAGGACGAAAAAAAAACACCCTAAAATTACCACCGCTCGCAATCAGGAAATAAACTGTCTTCATTAGTATGGTGTCACGTGGTATACAAGTTAATTTAAAAGCAATTATAAATTCCACAGCAGGCTTCTGACCAATAACAATTTGAATGTAGATCACGTAACTAAAATCCGCTTCGGATATAGTTCAGCCAACCATAAATGTCACGGAAGACCGACTTATTAGCGTAAATTATGTTATAGACAGAGCTTCTACTTTGTATGTTATATATAGTTTTGAATATAAATTCTAAAAATATCTTTATTAATAGTTAGTTATTTATACACTAGAGGGGACACAGCATGGTTCAAACTTTCATTGTAACGTTAGGCCTAAGTTCTAAGGGTTTTTACGTTATCAACGTGATGGTTGTTTCTTCATCTTTTTCTCTTTAAGGTTTAAATGTTGAAATGGAACGACTGTTTAATTCAATTAATAAACAACAACAAATTAAATCATCAAATGTTTAAAATAAAAATACATTTTATTTTTCAACCAATACAACTTTGAGAAATAATGTACCATCAAAAGTGTAAATCGCACAAAATCCGAAAAGTAGACCTGAAGAGCGCAATTATAAACCTATATTACTTTTAGTCCTGTACTCTTGATAACAGTATGTTTTACAGAGGCTGAACTCTCCAAACCACTAGTAGTACTGCATAAACAGTTTGGTATCAAATGGTAAACTAATACACAGAATTTTTCAGACATTTCATTTAAAACTTAACAGATAGTTAGCGTTTTATTCTTATACCACTTCGTTCTGGTTGGTTCAAATTCACTAATACGAACACAGCCAAACAGCTGGGAGGACTTAGCGTAGAATGTGCTATTTTGTTGTATTCAGCTTGTATATATAATGATTCACAATTATACACACCATTATACTTTCTTCACATTTTAAAGAGAAAAAATCTCTATATATATACACTACAGTGAAAACAATCTAATTAAAATTGTAATCAATAAAATTCTCAGTTGATGGACGCCATTTGCATGTGTGATGAGGATTTAAAACAATCAAATAAAAAGTTACAGGTCGAGAAACTAAAAAAGATAATGTGTATAAGACTGATATTTATAGTGGTAGTTAGAAAAAGGGTCACGAGGAAACACGTAATATCTATTAACATTCACTGCTTGTCACAACTGGTCGACAGCCGGGTGTAGTTAGTCTGCAGGCCCGTAGTTCGCGTCCCGTTTCTGCCCTTTAGAGCTGTGAGTGCTGTTGACTAGCTTTTTCTCTCCAATCTGTGATTTTAAAATTAACATGGACAGCTTTTTATGCGATCGAATATCTGAAGCAAATGCGAACAACGTTCGTCATCACGGACTGTAGCAACTGTTAGTCCAAACTCCTGTAACTTTGATGCAGTGAGCATTTTTAGAGTCGTGAAATATTGAAATTTCGGGGGGACGGGTGTAGCATTTGTTATTTTGCTGCTCTAGGCACATTTTTGATCTGCTGACCCCTTTCATTCAATTTTACTTTCTTTTGTGTCCCAAAACATTAGGACTACACCTCAAATTAAATTTATTTTCAATTATTAAAACCCGAGGAAACACTACAGCAAAAGCTAGCACATGACTGCCGTACCATTTCATGATGCCTTGCATAAGTCATGTTTTTCTTAACATTACTTCTGAACCACCTTTGAGTTATCATTATTTGAATTTCTTTAGATATCATGTCTTTTTCTACAAACTTAAAACCAAGTCTTGCGGCAGTGATACATCGACAGAGAATCCTCAGAGTTACTACAAGCTAACCACCGAGTCACCACCACCCTAAGCTATAAAAGTGATGTTAGTGGAATCCTTGTAATGCTTATATTTCTGATGTGTAAATAAAAAGTTGATGTTAGTGGAATCCTTGTAATGCTTATATTTCTGATGTGAAAATAAAAAGTTGATGTTAGTGGAATCATTGTAATGCTGATATTTCTGATGTGTAAATAAAAAGTTGATGTTAGTGGAATCCTTGTAATGCTTATATTTCTGATGTGAAAATAAAAAGTTGATGTTAGTGGAATCCTTGTAATGCTTATATTTCTGATGTGTAAATAAAAAGTTGATGTTAGTGGAATCCTTGTAATGCTGATATTTCTGATGTGTAAATAAAAAGTTGATGTTAGTGGAATCCTTGTAATGCTGATATTTCTGATGTGTAAATAAAA